AGAACCAGTAGATAAGAGATTTAAGTTGGGAGAATGAGGAGTATAGTGGGAGCAATTTGCTGGAGAAGTTGGGATGGGGATAGGATCAAGGACATGTAGAGGGGTTGGGTTGGGCAAGAAGTGTCACCCCTTTATTTGAGACTAGAGTGAAGGAGGGGAAAATGTCTCAATAGTGTGAGATAAATAAGAGGAGGGGAGAAAGGGGAAGCTATTAGCAATGTCTGACATATAGTTGGCCATCAATAAATGTTAATTTACTCACTGACTGACACATGGTCTCAATTTTTCCATGAAGTAAGAGATAATGTCTTAAGCTTAAAGGGTGGGGAAGGGTTGCCCTGGGATGCTTTGAGAGGTGGAATTTGAACCCAGATCCTCTGATTCCAAGGTATGAATATTTTAATCACTTTTTAAGCATAATGTCAAATTGCTTTCCTGAATGTTTTTACCAATTCACAGCCCCACTAGCAATCTAATCTAATCTAATTTTCTTGCCACAGTTTCTCCAAAATTGGCCATCCTCAACTTTTGTCTCTTTTGCCAGTTTGCTGGGTTTGAAGTGAAACCTCAGAGATATTTTTATTATGTTTTGTTATTAGTGATATGGCAGTCTTTCACATGGCCAATAATAATTTCCTTTTTTTTTTTAAAGAACTATTTATTCATATTTTTTGATCACTTATCCATTAGACAACAGTTCTTGGTCTTATGCATTTGTATTAATTCACTATATGTCTTGACTACAAAACCCTCATCCAGGGGTGTTTGATGCAAATATTTTCTCCCCATTCAATGACTTTCCAACTGTATTTCCTCAACTCCTATTCCCATTCTTATTAATCTTCTTTAAAAATTTACTCAAAGTAGTCCTCCTACCTTCATTATCTACAGGATAAAGCTTGACTTTTTCCTAACTTTATAGCCTTCTCTTTTACAGAAACCTCTGATATGTTTACTCACTCTTCATTAAGTCAAGTGTTTATACTTTGAATAAATGGTTGATTGATTGATTTGAATCTACTATACCACCTTACATAGTGTTTTGGACATAGCAAATGTTTTAAATGTTCAGCAAATATTTGTTGAACAAAGGAATGGATGAGTTGTTTTGGGAAAATTCATGCCAGTGTTACAGGTCCATATTGCTATGTCAAACTCTTATTGTAGTTATATTTTGAATGATACAGTTGGATTTGTAATATATCTAAATATTTGTAAACTATGCTATAATGTAGTCTTTTTATTCCTATCTAATTGACTCCTCACCTTTTCTCAATCCTTTCACACCTCTATTCCCCCCTTCCATTCAACTGAAGATCTCACCTACTTGACTTGTTAATTTCCTCTTATCCCATTTTCTTCCTCTTAATATCCCTTTGCATAATCCCTCTCTCATTCCATGTTTTTAGTCTATTAATGAGATGGCACTTTTCTTGTTCCAAACACTGTACTAAGAGTTGGAATACAAATAGAAAATAAACAATCCTTGCCTTCAAGGAGCTCACATTCTAATTGTGGCAGATAACACATAAATAAGGTTTCATATTTATGGAGTAATGGCGTAGCAAATGGTCCCCTACCAGGAAGATAGTGTTCCCCTCATCCCAGCCTCTCCTGTCTTGTCCAACTGATTGTCCCTGCAATATTCTCCACCCCCATTTCCTCCAGTCTTTACTTTATTTATTGGTTCCCTCCGTTCTGCCTTCAACCATGCCCAGATCTCTCCCCCATCTTTAAAAATAAGCCACTACACTCTAGCATCCCAGCAAGCTATCATTCTATATCTCTCTTCCCTTTCTCAGCCAAACTCCAAGAAAAAAAGCTATCTGTATTTGTTATCCTTTTTTCTCCTTTCACTTCTCAACCCTTTTCAATCTAGTTTCCCACCTTATCACACAACTGAAATGGCTCCCTCCAATTGATTTCTTAATTGCTAAATCTTTTGCCAGTTTGTCTTTTCTGGCTTCTAAATCTCAATCTCTGATGGATTTGACATTGTTTCCTACCCTCTCTTCCTGGGTACTTTGCTCTCTAAGTTTTTATGAGATTGTTTTCTTCTGGTTCTGCTACCTGTCTGACCACTTTTCAGTCTCCTTTGCTGGGTCATCATATCATGTATTAAACTGGGAGTGAACCTTAATGCTCTGTGCTGGGACCTCTTCTTTTCTCAGTATATTCTCTCAATGACCTCATGTAGCTCTCCCATGGGTTTAATTATCTGTCTGCAGATTACTCCCAGATCTGTGTAAGCAGTCTTAGTCCTCTACTGCATCACAGACAGTTTATTGGACTTTTCTACCTGGATATCCCAGAAGCATCTCAAACTCATTATGTCCAAAGCAGAATTCATTGTCTTTCCCCTAAACCTACCTACCCCCTTTTCCAGACTTTCCTATTTCTGTCAGAGATACCACCATTCTTCCAAACTCCCAGGTTTTTAACTCTGATGTTATTCTACTTTTTCACTCCACCTTACCATACATATCCGTTCAGATGCCAAATCTTGTCTCACCTACCTTCATACCTGACACCCTACTTTTTTCTTCTCCCACTGACACCACCTTAATTCAAGCTCTCTTCATCTCTGCCTAAACTATTGCAATGGACTTCTAATTGGTCTCCCTACTTCAGATCTCTCCCTAATGCATACATACTGTTGCTAAAGTAAATTTCTTTAAGCACAAGACTGACTATGTCATTCCTCTATAAACTGTAGCAGCTCTCTAGCGCATCTAAGATAAAATATAGATTTCTTTTGCTTTTAAAGACCCTTATAACCTGGTTCCAACTTACCTATCCAGCCTCATTTTATGTTATTATTTCTCTCCCTACTCTCAGAGGTTCAAACAAATGACTTTCTCTCTGTTCCTTAGACAAGACACCCCACCTTTTGTTTCTCTGCCTGTGTTCCCCTTTCATGTTTGTTCCTCACAGAATCCTTCTGTCCCTTCCAGAGGAAACTCAAACCCCATTTCTTCCGTGCATAGTCTTTCCTGATGCCACCCAACTACTGGTGTCCACTTTCCTTAACTATTTTCAATTTAAAGATAAGGATAGAAATTGAACCTAAGATTACGTTGGTATGGGGAATTCTGTCCTACATTAGGACAGAATCTTCTTTGCTTAGAGTTGCATAGAGCACTGAAAGGTTAAATGACTTACCCAAGGCTAAACAACTAGGATGTTTCACAGGCAGGGTTTGAACTCAGATCTTCCTGGCTTGGAGAACCAGCTCTATCCACAGTGTTACACACAGCCTTCATTTTACATTTATTCTGAATATATTTACTCTGCATGTGTGTACTTTGTGATTTCTTCCCCCCCCAATCTATTATTCACTTATCTTGCACTTTTTATTTTGAGTTCCTCTCTTGCCTTCTTCTAGCCCCTCCCCCACCCACTGAGAAGGCAAATAATATGAAATCAATTATACATGTAAAATCATGCAAAACATATTGGCTGTGTCACATTTTCTCCTCTATAAGAGAATGTACTTTCTTTGAGAATAGGGATTGTGTCTTTTTTGTTGTTGTTGTTGTTGTTGTTGTTGTATTTTCATCCCCATTGCCTGGAATAGAGCCAGGCATATAGTAGACATTCAACAAATGCTTATTGATTGAGTGATGTAATGCTTACCAATAGGGCAGAGGCTTCTCGATTACTGCCCTGTTGGCAGTAATTTTAATTTGTGTAAATTAAACCTAAGTTCTGAAAAGAAGGTTGTGGGAACAAGAAAAATTCTCCTTGTTTCTTTTATTCTACCTCAAGTGGACCTCCATGCTAGAGCTCCAAAGTGGACCAAAAAAATAGGTGCTGGCTAGGAGCCAAAACCACAACAGGTAATTGGTGAAATGAAGCCATCGATTCATACACCTGACACCTTATATGATGTATGTGCGAAATTTGAAAAATTGCATTAATGAGAATGTAATTCTCTTCTGAAATTGGATGTTTTTGTTTTATTGAATATGTTTTAAATAGCAGCTAATGCTACATTCTTTTAACTGGGACAGTATTTGATTTTGCTCTCAACAAATTACTGTGACCCAAAGAAACATGGATCCACGGTTATTCTGGGTTACTTTTGTATGAAACTGTCATGTTAAACCCTTTTGTCATTTGTCCCTTTTTGTTATAATATGAGCAACTTGAAGGAATTGAATGAAAAGTTTTGAGTTTGTAATCTTTTTTTTGGTGTTATGTATAATTTCATAAGATCTGCTATTATTTTCAAAGCATCTCAATGAAATTCCATTCCTCCTATAAATTAAAGTTTAGTTTCTAATATATTTAATGGTAGAGGAAGAGAAAATATGACTGTAAGGGTTGGTTTGAAATAAGACAAATTTCAAAACTTAAAGCATCATCTTTGTGTTATATTTTCTCCCCTTTTAAGTGGCCCAGCTCCCACTGGCTCTCTTCCCCTCCCCTTGATTCCCTCTTCTGGTTTGTTACTCTTTTCTCTTTAGGGTTTTATTTATTTGTTCCTCTCTCTTGCTTTTATCTGGTTTTGTATTTCTTCCTCTTTTTTCCTCTCAGTCACATAGATACCTCATTCCTCTCCTCCCCTTTAGCTGTTCCTCTTCATTAGTTTTTTAATTTGTTTTTGCATCCCTTTCCAAAAAGGATTTCTCTCATTCTCTTTATTATCCATCCTCTCTGTTTACTCTAAAGCCTCATTTTTGATTTATGACCCCTATAATCATCTAATCTATCTTTTCTCTGTGTTCTTTATACAATCAAAAGTTCCAGGGTAGCCATTTGAGGGCTCTTCCCTTAGGTACCACTTCTGCCACTGCCTTGAAGGGCTTACTTACCCCACGCATTCCCATTTCCTTTCTATCTCCCAGAACAATGTCAATTATTGTATGTGTCAGAGAGGAAAATGCCCCATGGTAGGGCCACACTCCTCCCACTGACATGTACCCTTTCTTTTGATCTTTTTTCCTATATTTGCCTGAAAGTCTACTTCTTGTGACTGTGTTCTCCTACTCCTCCAGGTGCCAGTTGCCCCTGGGGGTTCCTCCTACCCCCCTCCCAGGACAAGTAGACTTTTCAGGCACCAAATACCTCAGGCCTTCTCCAGTTTGAGGTCCTCATCTCCCCTCACCTATAGGAGTATTCATCAGTGGAAACCCATCTCCAAAGTAAGACCTCCTCACTTTCGATTCTACCCACTCCTCACCCCTATAGACTCTTCTCTTTCTGAGATCACAGAAGTAACCTTCTCCTCAGTGCTAGCCCTTGATTTGACCACAAATGCTAGCCCTTAGTTTAACCCCAAAGCATCCCTCACTTCTCTCTATCCACCTACTCTACTCCCCATGAATGTAGTCCCACAAAAGAAGCATTTACCTTATAGGAAAAGTATCACAAGTTTCTGTCCATAATGCCCTCTGTCCCCCTCTTAACTGTTATCTCTACTGGATTTCTGTCTTCATCTCTGTCTCCCTGTTTACCTTTAGAAAGAAGTCTCTTACTGGTCTTTCTGTTGTCACTCTGTTCCTCTTGCTGACTTCATTTATTCACTCCTCTTGTAATTCTGTTGTTTGGGGTGTTTGAGAAGCAAATGATTTCTTCAGTTTGAATTTTCTTTCTAAAAATATTTCAGATTCTTTTATTATTGAATATCCATCTTTTTTCCTGTATGGTTAAGCTCAGATTTGCAGGATAGGTCACCCTGGGCTGTATCCTGAGCTCCAATGCTCTATAGAACACATTATTCCATTCCCTTCCCTTTTTTCTAGTGGGTATGGAATAGTCTTGTGTTATTCAAATATCCTTTCCTTCAGATTTGAAAATCTTTCTCCTGGTGGCTTGTAGAACTTGATGTTTCTGAATTGAATGGTTAAATTTAATTACTATGTGTTTTGGAGTTTGTAGCCTTGAGTTTTTCCTGGAAGTCATCTGTGAATTGTTTCAATTGGGATTTCATTTTCTATGTTTAGAAGTTCTGGGCAATTCTATTCTTTTTTCATTATGGTGTTAAGGCTTTTTTGTCCTGTCATGTTCTTCTGGGAGACTTGTGATCCTTAGGTTGACCTTACGCATTTTGCCTTCAAGATCTGTATGTTTTGCTTGCATGAGACAACATTTTCTTTAATATTTTTGTTCTTTGCTTCTGTTCTTCTGGGTTGTTCTTCATTTCTGTGTATTTGCATTCCCAATCTATGGTCCTCTGGTTTTTTTTTTGCCTTTGGTGTTAGACTTGTCTTTGCAGATAAAAGTTTTTCTGTTCTGCTCATTATTGTTTGCTGTGCAGGAAATAAATTCTGTTCTCATAATTCACATTTCTCTTAATACCACTGAGGAACAGTATGTTGTAATTCCACATTCTCCTCAAATTCCACAGGGTCCTCTGTATCATGAAATGTTGAATCTTTTCCCTTCATTTTGCAGTAGAGATGCTTAAACTCATTTACTAGATCTGAAGGCCATATTTCTTTCTGTTACTATTCTTCCTGTTGATGTATCTGTTTATGTTCAAGTTCTTTGAGATTTCTTCTTCCTGAAATCTTTGGTACTTTCATTCTTCCTCCCTTCCCTGATTTTTCTTATCACTCACTTTTTGACTCCCTCCCCTCTGATTGTAGTTTCCTTGAGAGCTGGATCTGAAAGCATCTCAACTTCGTTCCTCACCGGTCAGGTCACACAGTTCATCAGACTAGGTCTTTGCTCCAACTGACTTTTGAATGTTCACAACTGGTGCAGCTCTTCTCTCAGGTTTGGTGGAGTGTTGCACAACCCCCCACATGCACAGTGTCCTGTCCTGGTGACCTGTCCCACTTACTCTGTTCCTTAGTTCTTTGGCCGGGCACCAGCAGTTCAGAGTCTGCTGATACTGGCAGTTCAGAGCCTGTTTTCCCTGACCAGTTGTAAGGATTGGAGAAAATGATCTAGAATGCTTACATATGCTTGCATCATCTTACAGGCAGAAGTGGTCTTCTTGTTTTCCAGATTTGTATTTCCTAGAATGTAATTTTCTTTTTATTTTCTTTTTGCTAATGGGTTAGTATACCTTCTCCCCTCCTACATTCTCATTATGTATGCTATTTACTTTAGCTATTTTGTTCTGTTTGCTAAAACTTTAATTTTTGTTGTTGTTGTTACTTATCCTACAGAGACCAAATGAGAGGGTTAACATTCTATCTGAAAAACCAAGAGAAGATTCTATGGTATTAGAAGAAACACCGGTGAGTTGACTTAATGAAAATGGTGTTTCTTTGTCCCTACCTTTCACCACCACCCCTATCCCTCCAAATGCTTTTTTAAAGGCAAAAATCATAATTAACCCATTAAAATGTTATAGTTGTAAATCTTATTTATAAAATTACATTGAAATAAAATTTGGAACTCTTCAGAAATAGATATTTTCTTTTTTTGTGTATCAAATTTATTGATACATTTTGTTTTGACATAGTAAATTTTTCCCTTCAAACACCCAAATTTTCTTTAAAAGTATATTCTTTGGACATTGTATATCAAGTTACACAAAACACTTAATAGTATGACAGTGACTAATAGTACCTGTCAGTTTGAGGAGAATATTTTGTGGACTCCTCTCTCTCTTCCAAAGGAGAGAGAGAATGTAGGTGTAAAACAGTGTCAGTATTATTGGATTCAGTTGATGTGTTGGTTTTGTTGAATCACTTTTTAAAAAGTTCTTTGTTAGAAAAGATGATCTTAGGGGGGACAGGGTTGGATATATTTGGAAATGAAAGTGATATAAAGACAAAAGATAGCAATAAAAATTTCATTTTTTAAGCTTTTATTTACTATTTTTCCCCAGTAACGTGTGAAAACAATTTTTTTAGCATTCATTTTTAAAACTTTGGAGTTCTAAATTCTCTCCTTTGCCACCCCCTTCACTGAGAAGGCAAGCAATTCAGTATAGGTTATACATGTGTAGTCATGCAAAACATATTCATAATAGTCATATTGTGAAAGAAAACATAAACAAGAAAAAAATAAGTAAAATAAAGAAAGTAAAAAAAGATATACTTCAATCTGTATTCAGACAGCATCAGTTCTTTCTCTGGGGATGGACAACATTTTTCCCGTAAGTCCTTAAGAATTGTCTTGGATCATTGTATTGCTGAGAACAGCTAAGTCATTCACAGCTGATTGTCTTACAATGTTGCTGTTACTTTGTACACTGTATATTTCATTTTGCATCAGCTCATTCAAGTCTTTCCAGGTTTTTCTGAGAGCATCCTGCTCATCATTTCTTATAGAACAATAGTATACCATCATAATCACATACTACAACTTGTTTGGCCATTCCCCAATTGATGGGCATCCCCTCAGCTTCTAATTCTTTACCTCCAGAAAAGAGCTGTTATAAATATTTTTATACATATAGGTTCTTTTCCTTTTTGTTTTTTATCTCTTTTGAGATACAGACCTAGTAGTGGTGCAATAAAATTTTAGAGGTGGGTATTTCCACTGAATTTTTTTCTACCCCTCATAACTATCTGACTTCTTTCGCTTGGTCATTTGTGTGGACTCTAAAGATGCCCTTTGACCATTCTGGGAATGATTTTCCGGTTATTTTCATTCATTTAGTCGACACACATGTATTGAGCATCATCTTTGAACTAGGTTAACAAATACTGAGGGCAATATGAAAAAAACAATGAAAAAAAGAATCTCTTTGTTGAAGAAACTTAGAGCCTAATCTTTTTTTCTTTTTTGGAGCAAATGTTAAAGGAAAAGAAACCTAATATCTATAAAAACCTAAAAGAAAAGCACAATTCATGTTTATTCAGTTTTCTTTTTATACTTCATACACAGTTTAACTTTTATTATCTTTGTGGTAAAATTTCTTTCCTGTAGGTTCAGCAGTACCTACCTTCCCTTCCAGCGGAAGTGAGCACTGGTGTGAAGTTCCAAGTTGGTGACCTCGTCTGGTCTAAAGTGGGAACCTATCCTTGGTGGCCTTGTATGGTTTCAAGTGATCCCCAACTTGAGGTTCATACCAAAATTAATACAAGAGGTAAGAACCAATAAGCAAATATTAGATGCAATCATTTAAATACAAATTAATGGTAAGTGCTTTCTCCTTCTCTTTCATACTGTAAGAGTGTATAATATCTAATGCTAGTACCCCTATACTTAGTCTATAGATTTTCTTGTTTTTGTTTCATTCCAAGTTTGATCTGACCCGTTTGGATCAAAGTGACAATGAGTAGTCTATACCTAACCTTAAAAAGGATTTAGAACAGGATCCCATGACTGCTCATGTTTGGAATCTCATGTGTAATATATTTGTGCCCAAATCCCAAATTGCCTTTCATCATTTTAAATTCTGAAGCACAGTTTTTAGAATGTGTAAATTTGCACATTCCAGTCAGGAGTCAGAGATGTCATGGAGGTAAAAATGGTAAGATTTGGCAACTGCTTGGACATGTAAGATGAGGAATCAAAGATAATAGCAAACTTAGAAACATCAGACACTGTCAAGATTGTGATACCTTTGACAGAAATAGAAAAGTTTGGAAGAGAGAAGGTTTGGGGGAAAATGATCATGAGTTAAGTTTGGGATATATGGAGTTTAAAATGTCCCCTAGGCAATTTGGGATTTGGGATCAAAACTTAGGGGAGATGCTGGAGCCGGGTATATAGATCTTAGAATCACCTGCACATAGATGATAATTAAACCCATATAGCTATGAGGTTATGAAGAAGAGTATTGTGTAAGGGGAGAAGAAAAGAGAGCTTTCAGAAAAACTTCAAGGAACATCCACAGTCAGGATGCATGACATAGATAATGAACCAGCAAAGGAGACTGAGAAAGCATGGTCAGACAGGTAAGAAGAGAAGCAGGAGAAAGTAATCACAGAAACCCAGAGAAGAGAGAGAAAGTTAGACATTACCGTCAAATGGAGCAGATAGGTCGAGAAAGATTAAAATGAAGAAGAGATCATCAGATTTGGCAGTTAAAAGATTAGTGGTAATTTTGGAGAGAGTAATTTCAGTTGAGTGATGAGGTTAGGAACCAGGCTGCAAAACGCTGAGGAGTGAGTGGAGATGAGGGGAAGCAGAGGCGGTGAATGTTGATAGCTTTTTCAGAATTTGGCTGAGTAAATGAAGAGAGGTATAGGAAAAATAGCTTGAGGAACATTAACATCTTATGAGCATTTTTGAGTGGTGAGGAAGAATTTTGTGTGCTTGCTGAAGGCAGTAGAGAAAGAACCAGGAAGAAGTGAAGATTCTAGAGGGAGGATGACTGAGGATGCAATCTTATAGTGAAGATGGGAGGCAGTGAGGTCACATGTGGTACAAATATAGAGGGGATGGCTTCACTAATAAGAAGGACCACCTCTTTGTCAAAGACTGGGGAAAAAGAGGTGAGAGTAAGAAATGATAGAGTTTTGAGATGAAGAAAATGGGCTAAAAGGAAGCTCACATAGAATGCTCTGAAAGTAAGAGGCAAGGTCCTCCTTCAAGTGGGAGGGCATTATGGGATGTTTGAAGAGGGGGAAAAAGGTTTAAAACACTTTTGTAGAGGGGGGCAACTAGGTGGTGCAGTGGATACAGTACCAGTTCTGGAGTCAGGAGGACCTGAGTTCAAATGTGGCCTCAAACACTTGACAATTCCTAGCTGTGTGACCCTGGGCAAGTCACTTAACCTTGATTGCGTCACCAGAACAAAACAAAAAATACTTTTGTAGGGAATGTAATAGGGAAGCAATTAGGGAGGATTCAGAAGACTCTTGCTGCTCTGAAAGCCCAATTGTAATTGGATTAAAATGAATTTGTAACGTACCCAGTTGTCATTGTTGAAATACTTCTTCCATGCATAGGAGTGGTTGTGGAAGATGGTAGGATTAATCCAGATCTGAGGTCTGGCAAGATAAGGCAAGGTAACATGGGATACAGGAGGAGAGGATGATGTAGAGTTGAAATGACTAACTATTGGGTTGAAGTTGGAGAGAAGGGAAAGTAAAATCAGAACAGGGATAATGGCCTGAGAAAGTACTAAGGAGTGGGGGGGCGCAGTTAGAGGTATCAATAGTGGGATAAGAACAGGTTTAAGAGGATGAAGCATAGGTGGAATAATAGGGTAATTGCAGAGTTTCTAATCAGGGAGATGGAACACTTGTGGGTGATGGCAGTATCTAGTCTATGACCATCCTCATCTGTGGCTGAGGAGGAGTGAAGTAATAAGTTGTGGGATTTAAAACTGAGGAAATGGGAGAATAGGGAGTTTGAGAGAGCATCTAAGTGGTTATTAAAATTCTTGAGAAAGAAGGATGAATGACCTGGAGGCCTTTATATTACAGCTATCATAATTTTATTTAGGTGAAAAATTTTAATTGCATGGTCTTCAAAGGAGGAGTAGTTGGTGAGTGATTGAAGTAAAGGGAGAGTATGGAAGTGACAGTGGAAATCAAGGAGTATTATGACTCCCTAATGTGTTGGGGGTATAAGAGAAAAGTACAACCATTTCTGGAGGGGAAATTTGGGGAATATGATTTTGGCAATGAGGAGCCAGTTCTCAGTGAAGGCTAACTCATGGAAAGAATAGAGACAAAGAAATCCAGTGTGAAGGGGAGTTTATTCGTTGTGGAAGGGGAAATCCAGAGGACACAGTGGGAGGGGTGAGCAGGATTGGAGTAAGACATGAGTTGGCTAGGCTTGATGGGGATTCAGATGAGAGATAAAGAGGGAAGGGACTGAGGCAGTTTTTTCCTAAATAGTTGGTGATTGATAAATACAGGGAATTAGAAGAGAAACAGGAGAAGACATAACGGTAGTAATGGGAGGCAGATGAGTAGAGAAGCTCAGAGTCTGCAAGAGGTATTACAGAAGAAGGCGGGTAGATCTGCTCCCCTCCTAGGGTGGGGCAGGGAAAGGAAGGGAATTTTGAAGAGACAAGTTGGTATGTAAGGAGGTTGTTTATTCTACTAAATGATTTTAACCTTATAAGTATCTTTCTTTCACCTTGCTTACCGAAAGTAATATAAGATATTCTTGTTATATGGAAGCCAAATGATATAATTGCCAAGATCATTGGATTGAGTCAGGAATCTTGAGTTCTAATTCTGGTTTTACTACTCATTTGGTTGTTCTTAAGTCATTTTCAGTCATGTCTGACTCTTTATGACCCGTTTAGGGTTATCTTGGCAAAGATACTGGAGGGGTTTGCCATTTCTTTCTCCAGCTCATTTTACAGATGAGGAAACTGAGACAAATAGGATTAAGTCCTGGATCACACAGCTAGTAAGTGTCTGAGGCCAGATTTGAACATAGGAAGATGAGTCTTCCTGACTCCAGGCCCAGCACTCTATCCACTGTACCACTTAGCTGCTCTAAAAAAAATGTTTTTTTCAACTGTAAAATGAGGGGATTGGACTAGATGATTTTTCAAAGATCTCTTTCACCTCTAAAATTATATGATTAATGTTGTTCTTAGGGAAGAGGCTAGCCCTAAGGATTGATGTTAGTCAGGTCTTAATACCATCATAGATTTAAAGTTGGAAGGGACCTCAGAGCTCATTGAGTATAAACCTTTCATTTCACAAACGAGGAACCCGAGGGCAACAGAGGGTAAATGATTTCCCCAAAGTATCACAATCAGTAAAAGTCTGAGGCAGCATTGGAGCCCAGGTTTTCCTGATTCCAAGTCTAGTGTTCTCTCTCTTATGCGGTGCTGCCTCTCAGCCTGCTCCAGGGATTAATTTTTTAGCTATTCTTGGTCAGACCCTTAATGATTACTCCATCCAAGAATAAACAGGTTTGATTACCATTCAAACTCAGACAAACTTATTAGTGTCAGAAAGTCAGTTTTCAGTGAGAAATTAACTGCTGTGGAGACAGAATACTGGTATATTAGGCTAGCCAACCCATCCTTTTCCTAAGAGAAAAACCTTGGGAAACTCATTTGAGATCAAATGGTGAGTCACTAAATCACATGATTTAAAGAGATCTTTTCCCCAAAGCAAGGTGACGTATGCCTATAGTGCAGCTAACTATTAACTATTGATCAGGGTGCTAGATACCTGACAGTGAAGTTTCTTAAGATGACCCTTTGGTTCTTTTAGTTTACTTTATTTTCTCCCTTATTCTCATCCTTTTACTGTTGAAAAAATGCCAGTTTACGTAGCTTCAATCTTAACATTGAATAAGAATTGCTGTACTCTGTTTTCTACCATTACTTTATTCCCACTTCTGTTACTTATACCCTGACATTAAGAGGCAGCTAGGTTGCACAGTGGGTGGAGCACTGGGCCTAGAGTCTGGAAAACATGAGTTTAAATCCAGCCTCAGACACTTACTAGCTATGCGATAGGCAAATCACTTAACCTCTATTTACTTTAGTTTCCTCAGCTTTAAAAAGGAGATAATGATAGCACCCACTTCCCATGGTTGTTTTAGGATAAAATGAGATATTTGCCAAGCACTTTGCAAATCCTAAAGTGCTTTGCTAATTGTTCTTCCTTTTTTCCTGCAGCAGCCACTGCTACTCTGACTTTTGAAACATAGTTCTTTGTCCTGCTCTCATAGCTTACTGATTGAAGATAAAGACAACAGAATCCATCTAAGGAAAGTGATCTGAAATTCCCCAGTAGCCATAATGTAGACACTTTTTTATCAGAGATACTAAGAAATCAGGAGATTAGGGTAAGGCTCTCTAAGGGACTCATACCATGGCAAAACATAAAACAATTTATATTCGCTCTTGGGTTTCTAGAGCTCCACTTAAAATTTACATCCTCAGAGAATTGTGCCTCTGAAGTCCTCTCCTTGTCTAGAAAGTGGTTCTCCCTTCTCCTTCTCCCTACCCCCATCCGTGTATAGTTTTCAAGTTTCATCACTTTATTGAATCCTGACGCTCCCCTCCAACTTGAGCTGCTGGCTCTGTCAGAGTGAGGCAGAGCCAAGTCTAGCTTTGGCCTCATCTGCACATTCTAAGGAGGCTGATTCACCCAGTTTTTGGTATCAAGTAATGAGTGGCACCCCCAGAACAGAAGAACATGCCACCTATTTTGGCAGAACACTCTTGCAATGCTCTCATACCTGTAAAGAAACTGAACATCCTAAAACTACATGGAAAAAGTGTCATATGATTCTGTGAATATAATTTTTTATAGAATTCTGATGATGATGATAATGATCATGGTAGCTTATATTTATGTAGTACTTTGTGGTTTCTGGAACACCTTGCTATAAAATAACTGGTGAGGTAAGTAGTAGAAGTATTTTATTATCATCCTTTCACAGATGAGGCACAGCAGAGTGGCAAAGAGTACAGGCCTTGGTGAAGTCGAGACACTTGTGTTTAGGACCAGACCCTAACACTTATTAATAAGCCTTGTGATCCTGAGCAAGCTGAATAGCCTCGAAATTCACTTTCCTTATCTGTAAAATGAATGGATAACAGCTCATAGGGTTGTTGTGAAAAAAAGTATCTGAATAGCTTTCAAAGCACTGTGTAAATGTGAGTGCTATTATTATAAAGAAACTGAGGCTGAAAGATTGAATGATTTATTCAAAGTCATGTAGCTAGTAAGTATTGAAATTGGGCCTCAAGCCCAAGTTTTTCTCCTGTGATTTCTGTGTTCTTTCAGCAGTAGCTCACTGCTTCTTAGTGGTGGCAGAGATGCCCATAAAGAAATTATATGCCTTTGTATTATATTATGTTGCCTTTCACCTAAATGTATTTACATAATTTGCCTTTTTAAATGTTTGAATATTGATCTCTCATCATAATCATCATCAAAAATATTTGACTATCCTGAGGAGTCATAGAGGGCATATGTTTTTCACACCCAAAGGCAGATCCTTTAAAAACATCATATGTAAACATGTAAAGTATTACTGCTATTAAATTACAGGCTGCTTATTGAAAAGTCTTATCATTCACAATTTAGTAAGCTTTTTTAAGTTTAAAGGTAGTTGCTTTTAATCTTGCTATATCTGTCTAAAATGAAGAATGTATATGTATATATACCGTTATCTCTTTAAATATATTTAATGTTTAATCAACTCTTTTATTAAGTTTGTCAGACATTAAGCACCTACTTTAGTGCAAGGCACTATTCATTGGCTAATTACCTGGTTTGTCAGCTTAGTTGGGCTTTTGGGTTATATAGTTGCCTAGTCAGGCTTCTGGGTTATATAGTTTCACTACCAGCATTTTGGCCAAGGAACAAGAAAAAAGTAAACTTTAAATCAAGCAAATGGGTTGTTTGTTATTATCTCTGGAATATAAGATTTGATGGAAAAGGAAATAGAACTGTTGGCTAAAGTAAAAGACGGAAGTCAAATACCCAGTACTTCTGTCACATTCCATTTTTCGCATTCTCAGGACTTTCCTAGGACTAAGACATTACAGTTATAAGCTGGTACCTGAATAAACAACCATCTACTGTAGCAGAACTGCCTTAAGGTTCTCTTTATGCTTACAGATAGAGATATAGTGAAACCCATACATCTTCTTAAGGCTACTAACTGGCTTTGATTGTAAGAAGATTGTCCTCTCTAGGCCCTACTTTGTGCTTGTAACAGTCTTAAGCTGTTGTTCATTACTTCTCTACCCCTGGCAGAGGCATGAGCTATATTCCTCTCCTTTCCTGTTGCTGAAGGGTTTAGGCTGAACCTGGAGTATCATTAAGGTCAGGATGCAGAAGTCAAAGCTTCTTTGAACCTGTGTGAATTGTATAGACTCTTACTTGTCCTTTTTCTGCTAGGCTGGGTGGTCTTCAGTGTTCCCCTGCACTAAGTGAACCATACAAAAACTACTTAGTGTTGTTTTAGTTATTATTTTAGTGATCTAGTGATGACTTTCCTATTCTTTTACTTAATTGTTGGGTTTTTTCTCCTATGTGAAATTTCAATTGGTTTCAGAATTTTCCTCGAGATACTAGACTAACAAAGACAAAAGGCTAATAAAACTGAAAATGAGAAAAGTTCCTGGTGGTCTTTCTTATATTATTTGAAATTTATCTTAATTCTGTTCATAAGTTAATAAACGCATTTTTCTGAAGTCAGGATTAAAATGTCGCATTCGAATCTCCCCATCTATATAATATATGTGACAGGGCAGATGACTTGAAGATGGCTGGGGTGGAATGTAAAATACTGGGTGGGTCAAGTGATACATTCACAGATGAGGACAGTGTGAGCCGAGGGCAGCACAGGCGTGGGGTCTGGAACTCCATCAACTGATCCAGTATTAGCAGAGGGGAATAAATGATGTGAAGGTGGTTAGAGTGGTGTGAGGGATGGCCTGTGCTGATGCATAGAGAGGGAGGAGCATGGAGTTATTACAGAGAAGAAAAATGATACAGTGGACTTGACACTTAGAAGTACTGAGTACTTCCAACTTTCGAACTTCTGCTTCTGACGTTTATTGGCTCTGTGACCAAAGGAAATCGCTCAGTCTTTTGGAGCTTCAGTTTCCTTTTCTGAATAGTAGGGACAATGTTTATACTTAGTAACTCACAAGGGTGTTATAAAGAAAGTATTTTATTAATAAACCACAAACACAATAATAATGAAAAAGTATTAGAGGCAGCTGGTGGCTGACTGCACCTGGAGTCAGGAAGACATAAGTTCAAATCCAGCTTCAGAATCTTCCTAGCAGTGTGACCCTGGGCAAGTCACTTAGCCTCTGATTGCCTGACAAAATGGATCCACTGAAGAAGGAAATGGCAAACCAAAATTTCAGTATCTTTGTCAAGAAAACCCCAAATGGGGTCATGAAGGGTCTGACATGACTACGATGACAATAAATTAAATTATCATTACTTTGAAATTGTTTTCTAATTTTTCAAGATCTTTTTCCATTATTGAGGACAAATTAAGAGTTAGGTGTTTATTAGTCATAGATCTAAATATTAGAAAAATAAGTTTGTTTTTACCATAGTAACAAAAAATTCAATGATTAATGCAGTTTTCTTTAAACTCAAAATCTTATTATGCAGACATTTAATCAATAAGTATGGCATATTCAGTATGTATAATAATAGTATAACTTTATGTAGTACAATATAGTTTGTAAAACTTTGTGTACGTGATGGATAGTTGTAGAATTAAGACTCTGGAAAACCTTGACTATTCACTGTGATTTGCACGTGAATTTTTATGGATGAACATCTACATGTTTTTTTGTTTCAAATTGTTGAGAAGAGGTTCTGTTTTCAGGGGCCCGGGAGTACCACGTCCAATTTTTCAGCAACCAACCAGAGCGAGCATGGGTCCATGAAAAGCGGGTACGAGAGTACAAAGGACACAAACAGTACGAACAGTTACTAGCTGAAGCAACTAAACAAGCCAGCAATCACTCTGAGAAACAAAAGGTATATGTCTGAATTCAGTGTATCAGTTGAATATGTTTAAAATATTTAATGATTCATTGGAATTTCTCTTGATGAATTCAACCAGTATTAGTTTTATTTCTCTGCTTTTGATTTCCATCAAATATGACTTTTAATGTATTGTTATTATTAATAATAACAAGTGCAATTTTAACAAGAGCTCACAGATGTTAGCTCAGTTAGTTACCTGCTTAATTCAAGTAGATGAATTTTTGGTGAGTCAGAAATTTGTGAACATAAATTAACCAGGTACTGGTAAAGTATGAAATACTTGCTAGAATTTGTTATGTTTTATATCCTCTTGACTTCCTTCCATAAGTTTGTTTCCCGAATCTTTCATTAGCTTATAAACGTTTTATGCTAAAAGTGAAATTTCTGAATTATTAAACATGGTGCATTTTTTTGTGTGTTACTGGTATGCAGTCTTTTGTCCATTTGCCTATGAACATGTGATCACTGCTCTAAGAAGACAAATGTCTTAAATCTTCTTAACAGATCTATTTAACTTAATTTTATTAAGAATTTTATTAACAGAACTAAGCTGAATTTTATGTTATATGATTTGAAGAAATTGGACCTAAATGCTAAATCTAATGCAATGATATTTTAGGTGAGAAATTAGTCTTGAATTTCTTTTTAAATTTTATCAAACTGCTAGTTGGGAATGAGTCATACATAGTCAGATTTCTCTTTGTTTTATTTAGAAAGAGAATGCCTAGCGTATTAGAAAGCCTCATAGGTAGATTTTCAGAATTTACTAGCATTCATAAAAATACTTGTATTCAACACACATTTTTAGGTACCTATTTTGTGCACTTGCTGAGCTAGGTCCTTCGGAAGATGGCAAGTTGTAGGGATTGTATTCTATTAGGGATGCTAAAACATATTCCAAGTGACTTTGGTACAAAGCATAATATGTTAATTGCAGAGAAGGAGGTATAGGGAAAGTACTTTCAGAGATTCAGAGGATGAAAAGATCACTTCCATTTTGGATTTCAACAGGGAGAGATTAGAATTAGAGGCTAGAGATAAAAATTTGGAGTCATTCACATAAACTGATAGCAAAGTTATGAGAGTGAAGCTCAGCAAGTAGGAGGAGAAAATATAGAGAAGAAGAGGCTAAGTGGAGGGTCTTTGGTAACATTGGCATTTGTGCTAGACATGATAGCACTCTCCTTTAATCTCTTCTTCTTCTGAGGCTGAGGCTAAGGGATCACCAGGCTGCGTAAGAGGCAGCCAGCCCCTATCAGAAATAGAACAGGTCAGACTTTCTCTGCTGCATAGCAGTGCCCTCAGGCTTGGGAGTGGCCTGTATATTCCCAGCCTGGATGAAATAAGGAGATGTATCTCAAAGAGTTGCTTCCCTTCTCCCTTCCCCCCTCCTCCCTGCCAAAAAAAATTACTTTTGAAGCAATAGAAGAGTTAGAAAAGTTCTTCTTCCGCAGCAGAGTCAGAGAGGTTAGTGGTACAATGGAAAGTGTTGGATTTGGAGTCTCAGGACCCCGGTTTAAATCCCAACTCTTCCACTTTATGTCTCTGATAATGGACTACTAACTTTCTTATCTGTAACTACAGGCTAGGTGACCTCCAAGGTCCCTTTCAGTTTCAGGATTTGTAATCCTAAAGTAGGAGAATCAAGATGGTGCAGTGTCAGATTCTACGAGAACCCAAAAACATAAAGAAGCAGCAAATAGTTATTAAAAGCTTTAGTATTCCAAAGAAGTCAGTGAGAATGAACCAAAGGCCATATGATTTTATGACTTCCTATTCATTGGTGACCTTAGAGTTGTTTTAGTTAAGTTGAGATAAGGATTGTACCTTGAAATCATAATTTCATTGTTATAGGGAACTTTCAAATGAATAAACCGTCTCTACCAATACAAATCAATACCTTCTTTGCATTTTATAGTCTTAGTGAGCCTCCTAAGGAATTAAGAAGTTAGATGACTTGCCCAACACAATCTATATATGTCAGAGGTAGATTTCTGTCCACTATACCAGATTGTGTCTCTAATAAAGTAACAGAGATCCCCCTTCCCACCCACCCCCGGGGGAGAAAGGATTTTCTTGAAGAAGAAATATTGGCATTGAGTGTAAACTATTTTTAGTGTTGAAGGAGGGGAGAAATATTAGATAGAAAGACCCGTGTTTTGGAGGGCATGTTGCTTTCTGTAGGCAAAGATCAAACCAGTGGACAAAGGAGGATTGAAGAGATCAGAAAAACCCATGAATTTATAGGATCTTGAGCTAGACAAGACTTTAGAAGGCATCTAGTTTAATCCCCTCGTGTTACGGATGAAGAAAATGAAGTTCAAAGAGGTTGAAGAGTATGAATGAATAAAGTGTCAGAGTTATTGTAGAATGTGGAAAGGTGTTCTGGAGGTAGGTTGGTGTCCAGCTACAAGGACAGAGACAGAGAGAATCGTATAATCAGATGGCCTGAACTTCAAAGGCGGTAAAATGATTGTAATTGGGGTAAGACAGTAGCCTGGAAGTAGCCATGGGGAACAAGGGGTAAGTCAGTCAACAAATATTTATCAAGTGCCTACTCTGTCCCAGCTTGATGTCCACATACTGCTGTCCACATTCCATTAGAAGAAGTCAGACATGTACACATTTTTACACACAGTGCTGCAAATTAAAATGTGATTAAGCAAAATAGAGATCCAGAGAAGTACTCTGGGAAAATTCAGTGAAGGAAAGAAGGTAGCAGGGAGATCAAGGGAGAAATCACTGAAATAGTGTCATAATAGCTGAAACTTTAATAAAGACAAAGATTCTTAGGGTAGAAAATGAGTAGTACTTTCAATAGCCTGGTCAGATATCAGTCAATCAATAAACATTTATTGAGGGCCAACTTGGTGCCAGGTACTATGCTAGATGCTGATAGGATACATATAAGAGACGAAATGGGGGGATAACAATAATAATAATAATAGCCACTCATATTTACATAGTGCTTTAAGATCCAAATGACACTTTGCATACATTATATCATTTGTTCCCTACAACTACTCTGAGAGATGGGAAATGCTTAGTTGTCCAGTTTATCTAGAATGTGAAGTATATAAAGGAGAATCATGTGTGAAATAAAACTGTAAATATAGGTTGAAGTCAGATTATGAAAGGTTTTGAATGCCAGACTAGGGTTTCCCTTTTATCTATAGGCAATTGAGAAGCCCTAAAGGTTTTTGTTTTTGTTTTTAAATTATTTTTTATTTATTTGTTTTTAGTTTTCAGCATTCACTTCCATAAGATTTTGAGTTTCAAATTTTCTCCTTGTCTTTCCCTTTCCCCCAACCCAAGACGGCATGCAATTTGATATAGGTTCTACATATATATTCATATTGAACCTATTTTCACATTAGTCATGTGGTAAAGAGGAATTAGAACCAATAGGAGAAACCAAAAAAAAAAAGAGAGAGAGCAAATGATATGTTTCGATCTGCATTCAGATTCCATAGTTTTTTTTCTGGATGTGTACAGCATTTTCCATCATGAGTCCTTTGGAGTTGTCTTGGATCCTTT